AATATTATTTTGTTGTCTAATCTGAATAAAATGAAGATTAAAATAGTTACCATTTTATATTCAAAACTGTCATCTAAGCATAATTTTATTTACTTTTTTATTGCATCGGATCTTGCGAAATGAATTGACTAAACAATAAATATCTTGTACAATTTTATAATGTAATGTATAATCTCGTAAAAAACGTAAAGCTTTTCGTTTTTGTCTAAAATATGGTACATAAAAGAATAACACATAACATTCTTTTAATCACAGAAAAATACATTACTTTTAATAATGAAACTAAATACGAATGAATCAAAAAACTCTCATACATAAACATAAAGGGTCAAAATAAAATATTTACGCACTCGAAGAGAACATCTGATACGATTAAAAGAGGTGGGTTTCGGTAGTAAGTAAAAGGGCCGCAAGTTGGTGCCCTCAAAAATTCCTTCATACTTTCCATAAAAGAAAAAAAGGTATCTTTGCCCTCTTCGGCAAAAATATTGATAAAAGCGCATGGCCTCGACATTGACAAAAAAGGATGGTCTGTTAAAAATCAACGGTATCGACGTCTGAATGCATATTGCTCGGAGATTAAAAAGGGACTGAACGAAGAAAAGTTTTATTAGTTCTTTTTATGTTAGCCAAAAGCTGATTAATTTTTGGGGAGGGGAAGTGTAATTTTGATCAAAATATCGGGCGTGCATGATTTGGACGCTAAATTTAAAATTCGACACTGAGAAATAAAATTACCTGTTTCTGCATACATGATTTGGACGATGGGTGTAATTGAAATGTAAATGGAAAGTCAGGTAATAAAATTCTAGAGATTAAGCTTGATAAGGTTTATTTGTCACTTTGAAATTAATACGACATACATTTTACGAAATGGAATCGATCGATACAGTTAGTTTGATACTCATGTATCCTATTTCTAACGAACATAATTTTTTTTTCTACTCTTTGGATCTTTAAGTCTATTACTTTCACTATTACAGACACTATTAATTTTAATGTAAGTTTCAGTTTGAAAATTTTTTTAAAACATCATAAAATGGGAAAATATTTGGATGAGCATGGTAAAAATTATCATTAAAACGCGAGTGGAACGATTCACAAGCATTATTACACAATTGTAAGGAACAAAATCATTACAAATAAGTAGAGGCGTGAGACAGGGTGATACAATATCACCGAAACTTTTCAATCAGGCTCTTGAAGATACTTTTAAAAGATTAGAATGGAAAAAAAGGTACAAAAATTTGTGGACAACGCTTGAACCATCTAAGGTACGCTGATGACATCGTATTGATAACCGATAAAAAAGAAGAATTATTTGAAATGATGAAATGAAAGAACTGGACGTAGAAGCTGGAAAGATAGGCCTTAATAATGAATTACAGCAAGACCAAAACTATAACAAATACAGATGAAGACATCACAATGAGAATCGGACAAGATGAAATAGAACAAGTTAAGGATTACATATATCTTAGTCAAACTATAAAACTTAACAAAGAGAACCAAACAGCAGAGATCAAGAGACGAGTTAGACTGGCATGGGCGGCATTTGGCAAACTAAGCTACATTCTTAAAAACAAAAGATATCCACAGCATCTTAAGACCAAAGTATATAATCAATGCGTACTCCCTGTTCAATGTATGGCTCCCAAACGTGGACATTTACAAAAGCAAACATGGACAAAATCATAAAAACCCAAAGAGCAATGGAAAGACAAATGTTGCACATAAGACTAATGGATAGAGAAAGAGAGAGAAAAACAAATGAGGGATGTTAGACAAGAAGTTGCAAAATTGAAATGGAGATTTGCCGGACACAATATAAGACAAAAAGAAGACCGATGGAACAAAATTCTTATAAGTTGGAAACCGTGGGAATATAAACGAAGCAGAGGAAGGCCCCAAATGAGATGGGCAGATGATATCACGAAGCACGTGGGCTCTAGATGGATGACTGTAGCGACAAACAGAGAAGAATGGAAAAAGGATTGGGAGGCCTATGTCCAAAGATGGACCGAAGAAGGCTAATTAAGATAGATAGAGTAGTTGTTAATTGTAAACCCTCACTCATCGCAGCCCACATCTCCGACGGAAATGTTGCGTGGTCGCCAATGTGTTGTCCAATCAGTAGTCGGAAAACTTTTCAATTTTGAATCCTTTGGTTGAATAGCCATAAAATCATATATGAAAGATTCTTCGACTTCTGAGGGGGGTAAAAAATGGCAGCCCAAGAATATATTTCAGCCATTTAGATATTTCCACTGTCTGCCAATTATATTCCCGAATTAAGTTACAACCACCGATATTGCGATACCAAGCTTTGCATAAGACGAAAACGGCACCCTTTAATGTGCACATTTGGAAATTCAAAACGCGCAGCATTGTGGATAGCAATTTCAAAATCGGAGAGAAATGATTTTTGGTCTGAATTTTAGACCAATTACTTCACATTTGCGTTTCAAAACATTAATAGTTTTATATAGGTTTGTTCCGATTTGTCGGGAAGTAAACAATAACACAATGGTATATAATGTCCATTGATAAATACATGTATGGTAAAAAATTGCTTGAAATATTGAGCACAGTAACTAAATGTACCGTCCATATAAATCGTTTCACTGCCGCACAGAAAACGCATGTTAGTGTTTCACGAGATGATAATGTTAGAACTTAGTTCAACCGCAAATATAAAATTCTCGTCTTTAAGTGTTTTGATATTCATAATATTTTACCGCAGCAATAGTTTCTTCTTTACTTTTGGGCAGTTTCGGTTGAGCCATTCGCCGTTCACTGTATATTTGATTTCGTATTAAATTAACGTCTTTAACAGACATGTGGCTCAATGTGTATGATTTTGGACGGCCTTTCGGTCAAATTATCCTTAGCCTTCCTTTTGGCACTGCTACGCACAATCTGTCTATTAAGCGTCTTGATATCACACTCGTGATTATGTTCTAGATTACTTCGGATCACTAACTTTTCTGGCCTTTTCGTGAATATCTTCGCTTTACACGACCGTTTTACGCACCTCCAATACGTTTCTCCCGATTTTAGTACTTTATCTTGAGAAAAGTAAAACTGTTCACTTTGAGCAAAATTTTACCACGATTACTTACTAACGTTGAAATTTCCATGTTCACTTTTCACTACTCTCTGACAAACTAATAACTAGTAAACTAAGTAAATTTCAATGACCATCATTAAACCCTAATTATATCTAATATCTGGTACCTGCGATAATCCTTCCGGTAGCGTCCAAAACAAGGGTACTTTTAAGACTCTCCGGTACTTCAGCGTCGAAAACATACCGCCCCTTTTTATAAGTTAGCCAAAAGCTAATTGATTTTTGGGGAGGGGAAGTGTAATTTTGATCAAAATATCTGTTCCCTTGAGTAAATATTTCCACTTTAGCGCAATTATAGGCCAAAACCAATAAAGCTCTAAGAGTGATTATGTAAAATCGCTCTTAAGTAGACTAAATTAAGCGAGAACCCCAAACATAATTTATTACGAAAATGGACTTTTAAGTACACACATTTCACGTTTTTGAAGCCATAAAATAATAATTTCAGAGTCAACTGAAAATACAGTCTCGTCAAAAGTTGTAAATTTAAGAAATTCAAGAGAAATTAACATAGCACAGCAGTAATTTATAAATGTTTAAAAAACTTTGTTTTTGCCTAATGTCATGTAATATAACTACTAGAAATTATGACACGTTAAATTTTTTTAACATATCTTTAAATTGAAGCCTCAAAGAACCGATTACGATCTGCTAAATACCTTTAGAGTCACTGTTTGGGCAAGTAAAGTGTTTAGCAGTAAATGGTTGACTTCAATTAGTACCGACTATAAACATCCTGGGTTAACCGATAATAGTATAAAAGACCCGGTTTCAGGTAAAATTTAAATATGTTTCCTGGTAAAATTTGTCAATCTTCATTTCTTAATGTTGATTTAATTTCGTACAATCCAAACTCATTATAATTGCATTAATACAGATAAGGCTTATATTGTACTGATAAGAGGGTTTTTTGAATTCGATGTTCGACTAATCACCTTTTAAGTGGTTTTTCAGGTATTTATATAATAAGTTTATGATATTTAGCACACTTTAACAACTCAATAATTGTCATAATTTCAATTATTTATATTACATATCATTATTCAAGAAACAAAGTTATTAACATTTATAAATTACTGCGAAAATAAGGGTTTTTTGCAATTATCTTGGTCAATTGTTTATGTATTTTCATTTAGAATCTCGCAATTTAAAGAACTTTTAAGATCTAAAACTTTTATTTGAACTATTTTATCTAAAATGTTTAAGAAACTTTTTATAGTCAAAAAATAATTTTTTCATTGACTGTTTAAAAAAACAAAGCAAAATCAGCTGTACCTCTTTAAGGATTTGTCATCAGCTATTCCTCATATACCTTTTAGAACCTTCAAAAACATGTAAGATTTTTAGGAGAAATCATGATTTTTGCACAAATAGACTGGGGTAATAGGTGGCTACTGAAGCAGCCTCAGTTAAATTAAAAATTGAAAAATTTCTAGTGCCTGTGCAGGGGATCTAGCTAGATGATTCCTGTACAAGATTCTCTTTTGCGTCCTTTCTGATACATGAATTTTGTGTATAATTCTGATCCTATTTTAAATTTTAAAAATTCGACAAACACATAGACACATGATCTAGGAAACGACATAATATGCATTGTAAATAAAAAGAACAAACAATCAAACAGAACTATGTGAAATAATCTTTCTAAAATCGTCTTATAGCCATAGCAAAGGATTGTGTAAGTATTATTAATTTATAGCGTTAACAGAACTATTCCAATAAATCAATCAAATATTTTGCTTAAGTGTATAACTTGTTCATCAACATTAAATTACGCAAGATGTAATGATCAACCACGAGAAAAAAGTAAAAGTTGTTTGAGATTTTATATAATAACTGTAATTAGATATGCGCTAAAAACAAACCTTACCTTAAAGACAGCACTTCAACTGAGGGCATTCTTCTCAATAAAGTCACATCTTCAAGTTCACTGCCCCTGGAAGCAATAAATTATTTTATTAATACTGTTAATGTTCTAAATGATAACACGCTAGTTAATTTCAAAATTAATGTTTATACCTATTATATTACTCACCAACAATTTAACCTTTTAATTTTTGAAAGATCTGATATCTTCGTTCGAGCAATAACCATTTCTTCAGTTAATTTCTTCCCCATTTTGAATGGGTTATTTATAACAAGTCAACAAAGCGAATATTACTGAACCATAAATTTACACATTTTTATTGAGCACTGCCTTAGACTAACACACCACACGAAAGTTACAAATAAACTGATTGATGTGATTTGACATTGTCCTATTTGACAGCACAAAAACAACAAACAAATCGGTTTTTGACATCGATTATTATATTATATCGATAGTTTTTGACGATTGAAAACTTCAGACTATCCTTGTATTTACTATGTTATCACGGAACACTAATTTAAATGACGTCATAGTATGAAAAAGAATGGAGAACATTAAAATTTATAATATAAAAGACCTAAAAAGTATTCACAGGTTACTACAACTAGGCTTTTTAATTATTTTGAATGCCACTAAAGTATAATTTTTTAAACCCCTAAAAAATATGTTTTTCTGTAGAATAATGAAAAAATAGGCTATGCAGCTAACTTTAACTTTGTTCTGATTTAATCTTTAATATGGTTATGGTTAATTTATTCCACAAATTGTCAAGTGCCATTAGTCATTAGTTTACAATTTATTGCTAATGTAAAAACACAGTCGTATTCTACATTTGAAAAATTTGTTACATATATTTTTTTATGTAAAATTTGATGGTGCTGCTTGTAAAGTCAACATTGGTTTCTAAAAATTTATTTATGTACAGTGTATTTACGGTTTATTTTCGTTTGAAAGTGTAGTTGGTCCTGACGCAAGCGCAGTCTTCATCAAATCCGAAGTCACTCGATTTTCTGGGGTCGGCCTGCAAGGTGGCAAGGTTAGTAATTTTTTTAATTTAATTTTTCATTATCCTAAGATATTTAGAAAGAATTAACTGCTTATACTATTCCGCCTGAATTTAGTGGCACTAGAATATAGCAAGTTAACGAAATCTAAAGTTATTGCAGTATATAATCATTTTCTATATCTTACATAATAGCTAATCTAAAGGTGATTTTTTTAGGCTAAGATATGTTGGTAAGATTCGGTAATTTTGGTAATGTGGTCCCTTTGCTGGTCCAGAATGGACAGCAACAACAGCAAAGGGGTATGGCCACCCTAAAGGCAATTTCCATTCGTTTGAAATCAGTTAAGAACATCCAGAAAATCACACAATCCATGAAGATGGTGTCAGCAGCCAAATACGCCAGGGCTGAAAGAGAACTGAAAGCTGTACGCCCCATCGGTGATGGAGCTAGCCAATTTTATGAAAAAGCTGAAATTCAACCCTTGGCTGATGTGCCTCAGAAGTTAGTAATTGCTATAACTTCAGATAGAGGTTAGTGACAAATTGTATAATATTAAGTTATAATCTTTAAAAAGTAATTTCTCTAACTACTTTAAATAGGAACAATTCTAGTAATGTATATTGTAGATGACAATGTCAAACTTTGACTTAAGTGACAAAAGTTCACTGTGAATGAGGATGAACAAACAATGGGTATATCTTCTTACCTTACCAAAATTTTCAGTGTGTCATTTTACTTTTAAATATAAATAAGAGTGAAAGCAATATTTGTGTGACTGCAGAAACTGTTTTTGTTATATGAATTATCTGTACACTACTTCAGATAGCCAGATGTTGTAGTTAGGGTAAAATTGACCTGGTGTCTTGATGGAAATTATTTCTTCTAAAATGTAGTCTTATAGATTTGTGAAAAAAAAACACGATAATTACAAAGAAAACAAATATACCAACAAACATATATTTGGGAAATGTACTGATAGAAATTTTTCCTAAAAACAAATACTTAGGAACCTGGATTTCAGACAATAATGAACAAACAACCAAAATAAGAGCTAGGATAGAAATAGCAAGAAATGAGTATGTAAAAATGAAAACAATTCTCTGCAACAAAGATCTTAGATTAGAACTGAGAGTAAGAGCACTGAGATGCTACGTGTTTTCAATACTGCAATGTGGACTTGAAAGCTGGACATTGAAGCAAGAACACATAAATAAGTAACAGTCCTTTGAAATGTGGTGTTCCAGGAGGATGCTTAGAATAGCATGGATACACAAGAAAACTAACACGGAAGTATTGCGAAAAATGGGCAAAGAATGCAAAATAATAAACACAATAAAAATAAGAAAGTTACAGTATCTGGGACACATAATGAGGGGATAGCAATATGAACTGCTAAGGCTGATAATACAGGGAAAGATAAGAGGAAGAAGAAGAATGTCATGGTTGAAGAATTTAAGGGACTAGTTTAAATGCAGTTCTATAGAACTCTTTATAGCAGCAGTAGATAAAGTAAAGATAGTGATGATGATATCCAACCTCCAATTGGAGAGACGGCACTTAAAGAAGAAGAGAAAAAACGAAGGTGTAATCCATATCAGTTCAGGCAGACAAGGAAAATCTGACCATCATAGTTTCAGTTCTTATTGAATTTAACATATGTTCAAATTGTGACTTCAAAATAAGAACTCCTTGGCCCAATCAATTTTTTTGCCACTAGTTACAGGCTGATAAAGATACACCTCAGGTCCCATTTTCTGAATGCAATTTTTTTAAAATTGCTCAATCATTGGAACAATTAAAGATATTTTGTCATTTTTTTATTCAAAAAATAATCATTGTTAGGATAAAATGATATGCTTAGTTTCGAAATATGTGTCCAGAATATTTTGGTACAAACTGATTTTTTTTTAATCCAAAGAAATTATTTTTTAAAATGCCAATCCCAAAAATTTTGATACTGTTAACCAGTATATCGTTACCTCAAAGCAACAATAGGATATGTAAAAAAATGACTTTTGTGATATTCATGTCAAATGATTCGAAATAAACCCTTCTGTTGAGTGTAACACTAGGATAAATAAAAAGTGATAATATACTTTTTTCATATTACATATCCTTGTGTAGCTTAATTCCTTTTAGTCCAAATTTTATAATGCAACACTAAGACAACATACATATCATACCATTATATTTTGTCATTTACCCATTTTGGTCAACAATATTAATGCAACACTAAGTTATCTTACGCACATATCCTACTGTTGCCATGTACTTATTGCTGAATTGTGATTATGTCTTTGTTTATACTATCCAGCTTGCAGTCATAATTTTATTGTAGCAATCTTAAACAATAGTTCTATTACATTGATGTTAAAACGTGTATGCTAAAGAGTAAAAATGAATAATTCAGGCAATTTAAATTGTACAAATGATGGGTATCTAGAAGTCAGTATTTAGTGTATTTAGCGAACAAAAATAACACTGATTCTGAGTTGTTATCTGGAATTTATCAAGCGCAGGAAAAAGGTAAGTTAAATTCGTGATAAATTCCCCTTTAGAAACTTGGGCTAATTTAATAAAATGCAATAAATTTGTACTTTCACAACTTTCAGTATCTGCTATTACCATTACTAATTCTGATGATTTTTTCATTTTATTTTGTTTATTATCTCGTCAAATTTTTAAATTTTTGGAAAATAAGTATGTTTATGTTATTATTTATGTAATAACATGTTTGAACAACAAAATTGTTTTGTTTTTTGTATTGAAATGTGTAAAATTTTAGACAAAACTTTAGTGCAATATAAGTTTATATAACAGAAATTTACGGATACCGTTAAAAAACAGATTATCTTTGAGGGCAACAGTAAGGACAACTAACTTTTTTTCCAATTATTTTTCACTTTTTTATTAATTAATATAAATTGATATTTGACAGATGTAAAGTTAGGTACTCAAACAAAATTCCATGTAAATCCATTCAGATATAAAAAAGTTATTAATTACTGAAGTTTCGTAAAATTTTCAAATGTGTTTTTCTCGAAACTACATTATTTTACATATCCTACTATTGCTTTGAGGCGACGATATACAGTATGTATTACATTTCCTGAAAAGGTGAACACCTACTTCTCAGATTAGCTGGTTTTATTAGAAATTGTATAACCAGTCAACTTTCTTCTTTGTTTGGCAAAATCACTCTCAGAATCTGTGTCACTACAATTGATTCAATATTACTTGGGAATAGGCAGTTATGTATTGCCAAATATACTACTGTTACTTTCTTTCTCAGATTATACTTCATTTAACAATGTATTAAAGTATCTTTGGTCTCATATATTGCATTATAAAGTAGTGTTGACAACTATATGGTACCTTCTACTCATAGCTTAAAATATGCAACACTCAGAGATGTGACAAGAGATAGAGAGACAGAGAGAGAAATTTATTGTTTTTAAAATGAGTTTACATTTATAAAACATAACATGGTATAGTACAAACAAGGGACAAGATACATTAAAGTACTAATTATAAAATTTCCACAATTAAAATATGTATATATATATATATATATATATATATATAATAATATATATAATATATATATATATATATATATATATAATATATATATATATATATCAATTAGCGACCTGTCCTCAAAAAATGCCTCTATGCTATAAATACATTTAGATCATAAGAACTTCTTGAGTTCTCTTCGGAATCCAAAAATATTGCTTGAGGATCTTATATAGAGTGGTAAGAGGGAAGTGGAATAACATAATTTAGACAAGTGTTATAAGGGAAATCTGTCAAAATCATGGACGTATAATTTATATGTCCATGGTCAGAATATCCTCTTTATGTTTTTTAAAAATTAAGACTGCTACTATTTCAAGGATATGCATGCAAGGAAGTGTCAAGATACCATGTGTTCGGAAAACAGAGGCCTGCATGATGTACCAAACTTAATCTTGCATAAATATCTTTTGTAGCGTAAAATTTCTACTGAAATGTCGAAGAGATGAGCTAGCCCAAAAGGCAATACCGTATCTCAAATTAGATTTATTCAGGGCCACATAAACACTTTTTGAAATCTTGAAATCTAAATGGTGAGCAACTGATTCAACCGCAAAGCAACCTGATACATATCTCTTTACATACATGATCTTTTTGCTTAAACATACAGTGTGTTGCTCAAATTTAAGTTTATTATCAATATAGAGACCTAAAAATTTGTTTACAGTATCAGAACAAATGCCTTCATTGCCCAGAGTAATGTTGTTTAGATCATTCTTAAAAGAAATTAATTTGGTTTTTGAAAAATTAAATGTCAAATGATTAGCTTTGCACCACTCTAAGATTTTTAGCATATCTCTACTAATAATCTTGTTCAGTACCTTAGAGTTCTTGTTTTGCCATAAAATTGTGCTGTCATTTGCAAATATAGTAAACCGGCCATTAATGTTGAGGTTAGTTATGTTGTTAAAATATGTCAAACATAAGATAGGACCCAAGAAGACAGAGTCTTGAGGTACTCCATAATTAATAAAGATATTACTATTCTTTGTTTCAAGTTAAGAAAATAACATTACGCTTATGGAGATCAGTGTTGCCAAAACTCTCAGACACTCTCTTTTGCACGGATGTCCAAGATATTCCCTTTGCTTAATTTTTGAATTTTCATTTTCAATTAACACTTAACTGTAAAGTCAGAAAACTACTAAATAAAAGCCTTATTATCATTATGTAGTCATGGAACGACATAAAATAGCTGACATACGCACATCATATTATTTTAAGTTGCAATTAGTAATTAGATATACGCATTCCAAGCGGTCAATATTTTCTACTGATTTCTATGAATCATGGCATATCGTATTCTCACCGAAAAACAAATAAACTGTCGTTACTATAATTAAAATAAGATAAAATAAAATTATCTTTTGTAAATACTATTTATCTAAATTAAAATCATTTTCCCTACTTTTCATCTCTTGTTTTCGAATGGGCACTTTTGGTCAATTACGTTTAAAAAACATTAATTTAATTCATGTTTGTGGAAACAAAAATACAAATTATACAACCCTAAATTGTGCTTGTGTGAGTCGTGGCAACGCCGCGTTGCTATCGTCCATAGGAAATACATGGCCCGTGTGGAACGTAGTATAGAGTAGTGTTTATTGATTAATACAGACTGGCATCTGTCTTCCAAGTAGGAAGTGTAGAGCAGTGCCTCTAAAACCATATCTTTCCAGTTTATTAAGAAGTATTTTGTGATTTACACAGTCAAAGGCTCTAGATAGATCACAAAAAACTGCAGCAGCAACATAATCGTTATTTAATCCAAGTATAGTTTTTCCATGAATTCGAAGATGGCATCATATTTATGTACTTTTTAATGACTGGAAACCAAATTGGAAGAAATTGGTTTTTGAAAGAAAGTCACCATTCGGATTTTTACCAATTTTTCTACAACCTTTGAAAGTGACGGTAACAAAGAGAATCTTGACTTGTAAAACCTTTTGTGACATCAAAAGGCACATTGATTTAAGAAATCGCGCAACATATTACCAACACCCCAGAAAAAAAGGAAAAACAATTAACTGTATATCGAGAAAGGAGCAAATTTGATAATAATACTAGGGGTACCATATTTTCAGATTATAAAGTGGCAGTAAATGTTTTAAAGTTGAACATTATCTATTATTATGTTAACTTAAACTTGACTAATTATAATTAAAAAAAAATGTTTTTGTCATGGCGTTATTAGTATATATGAGTTTTTTCCTTTTAGGTTTATGTGGTGCCGTTCACACCAGTGTCTCCCGTTACATTCGTGGAGAATTAGGCAAAGACGATCAAAACATCAAAGTGGTTTGTGTCGGAGATAAATCCCGTTCAATCTTACAACGTATCTATGGCAAAAACATTATGCTCGCCTGTAATGAAGTTGGACGTTTGCCTCCCACCTTCATTGATGCTTCTAAATTGGCTGATGCCGTTTTGAAGTCTGACTACAAGTTCAGCACAGGAGAGATTGTGTATAACAAATTTAAATCTGTTGTATCTTACAACACACAGACGTTGCCTATGTTCAGCTTGGCTGCTGTTACGGTAAGCTTTAAAATCTAAATTAAATTCTTTAATTGGTACGAACTAAAACTTTGTTTCTGTCGACGACGCACTCCGTAAATCGACGAGTGCGCATTCTTAAAGCACTCTACACAATCAAATTTACGACCCAACCAACTCTGTTGTACTGCTGAAGACTGACTTATTTGTCTGCCGTAAAATCACGCCGATATGGTCGAATGGTACAAATTCACGATCAAATTACGTTCAAGTTTGTAGCATTCGACAAAATCTTACTGCGCCGTTTGAACGTGAGTAGCGGGCTTTACATGTACAACAATGATTACCGGAAGTTTAATTTTAATATAATTCATACAAATTGCATTATTAATTGAAATCATGTCAAAAAACAGGTTATTACTAGACTTCGGCAAATATGCATATTGCATATTTTGCATATTGTGCATATTTTATGCAAATATTTCATATTTTGGCATATTTGTATAAAAGTATACATAAAGTGCATAAAAGTTCAGATTTTTATACTGTATTTGAAAATTTTTAAACATACCAATTTATTTCAATTCTTGTATAAAATTTTGTAGTCATTTAAATCAAGAAATGATCTAAGTACATAATCTCTACAGGTACAAAACATTTACAATTTCAAAGAAGATCAATTTAAGTAGCCCTCAACATTCTTAGAAAGTCTCGGTCACTGAGGCATTCAGTTATTGGATAATCGCTAAGGGTTCGCTCATTTGCATTTTATGATCTAATCCCCAAATCTATCTAAAATTTATTGTATCTTAAACAGCAGGTAAACGGCTAATAGTTTTGTTCCTAATTTAGGGATTTTCCAAAATCTCCCAGTTTATTGTATCTTAACAGCAGGTAAACGGCTAATAGTTTTGTTCCTAATTTAGGGATTTTCCAAAATCTCCCAGTTTATTGAATTAGGTACCTAAACATTTCTAATTTGATGCTCAGATTTGTAAATCATTTTGTTTTGATATTCAAAGCGTAAACACTCGTTGTGCGTAACAAAGAGGAAGATTGTGATTTTATAATTCCTAAAACAACCAGTGCTTCAACTTGGATTAAACCTTATAAAAGAGCTGTCTATGGATATGGGAAAAATCTACTGTTCAGTCTTGGCAAAATTGTAAGTATCTAATATTTTCTATTAAATATCTAATATTTCATACATACAGGGTGTTTCCAAATGACACTTACAACGTTTGATTGTAGATACTTCTCGAAAAATTGAACAAAACGATATAGTTAATGAGGGGTCAAACTTATTTACTTTTCGAGATACAGGGTGTTAAAATTAAAAAAAAATTAAATTCTTTTAGTTAATAACAAAAAATTTTCAACCTTTTCTTTTTTTTATGAAGTCAGCTATTCTAAAACACAATTATTTTTATTGTAATTGAATTAACAAAAAAAAACTTTTGTTGAATTTTAAAATAAGTTATATGATGGTACTAATGGTTAGTAACAAAAACTAATTTGTGGATTAATACTGCATTTAAAACACTTAGCGAGTGTTTTTTTTTCCAAACCAGTTATTTGATTAAACAAAAACACCTTGTATATTTTTATATTTTAAAGGTTGGGTTAAAATAAAGGTTTTTATTTTTATTTATAGATAGCATGTGAGAAGAAAATTTCAGATAGACCAACATGTGAGAACTGCTTCACACATTGCAAAAAAAGGAAAAATAGGAGGAAAACATCAAACTTCAATGGCTAAATGTTTCCAATCTACTTCAAAAAAATTAGATGAGCAAGAAACTTTTAATGAAGACTTGTGTCGCGCATTAGTGTCTGCAAACATACCGCTTTCAAAATTAGCAAATGTAAATTTTAGTTCGTTTCTAAAAAAATATTGCAAACTTAATGTTCCAAGTGATCGGTCTCTAAGAAGAAATAATGTGAACGGGCTATACTCGTCGGTGTTAATTAATATTAAGGAAGAAATTGCAGATAATTATTTTACATATCTGTAGACGAAACCACTGATTCCTCAGGAAAGTATATTGCTCATTTATTGATTGGTGTTCTTTAAGAAGATACCTTACCAAAATCTCATCTTATTTCATGCCAGCAACTTGAGAAAACAAATGCTTTAACAATTTCGCGTTGTATACAAGAAACATTAGCAACTTTTTTTCTTCCGACAACTATTCCTTCTAATAAATTACTGCTTATTTTATCGGATGCTGCTCCTTATATGGTGAAAGCAGGACAAAATTTAAAAATATTTTTTCCAGATTTAATACATGTTACTTGTGTAGCGCATGGATTAAACAGAGTTGCAGAGGAAATACGAAAAAAGTTTCCTCTTGTAAATACCATGATATCCAGTGTCAAAAAAGTATTTCTTAAATCTCCTATAAGAATTCAACTTTATAAAGAAATGCTACCTAACATTCCTCTTCCACCACAACCTATTTTAACGCGATGGGGAACATGGTTAGAAGCAGCTAATTTTTATGCAGATCATTTTGTTAAAATAAAGAACATAATTGATATGTTAACAGATGAAAGTTCCCAATCTCTTTTGGATTCTAAACAAACTTTTCAGAGTAACTTGCTTTAACAAGAACTTTCATTTATAAAATCAAATTTTAGTTTTGTTCAAAAAACAATTACTCAGTTAGAATCACCAAAACTGTCATTGTTCGAAAGTACAGCATTAATAAAAGAATTTGCGTCATGTTGTCGGAACGTTAGAGGTAATATTGGAAGATATTTTAAAAAAATTTGAAGCTACTATGGAAAAAAATAAAGGTTACCATATTCTTTCTGAAGTAGTCAGTGTTCTAGCTGGAAATATTTCGGAAACAATTAATTTAGAACCAAATGTTTTGGTTAGTTTGAAAAATGCTCCCGTTACATCAGTTGATGTTGAACCAAGTTTTTCCATATATAAATATATGTACTCAAACAGAAGCCACAAGTTTTTGTTAGAAAATTTTGAACACCACTTGGTCATTTATTGTCACCATAATTCTAAATAAGTTTATTCATACTTAAAAATGATGTAGTTACTTAAAATAAATGTAAATCTTAATGAATAGTAGGAAATATTTAGTTATGTACACTTTTTTTTAATAAAATTGTTACTATTTTACGATTTTTTTATTTATTTGTATGCATATTTTGTAAAATATTTGCATATTTTCGGGTAAACACGTGCATATTTATGCGCATATTTTCTACATTTTTATTTGCATATTTGCCGAAGTCTAGTTATTACTATAATATTGAAATTAAACATAAACTTTTTGTTATAGGCCGCGCCAAAATTATCAGTCTATGATTCGTTAGATGATGAAGTAGTCCAGAGCTACCTTGAATTCTCCTTAGCCTCTCTTCTGTTCTATTCCATGAAAGAAGGTGCTTGCAGTGAACAATCATCCCGTATGACTGCCATGGACAATGCCAGCAAGAACGCCGGAGAGATGATTGACAAGCTCACATTGACATTTAATCGTACTAGACAGGCTGTCATCACTAGAGAACTTATCGAAATTATTTCCGGAGCTTCGGCTCTATAAAATTAAATCTGGAAGGGTTATTAATGGAAGTGGTGATATCTATATATTTATCTTTAAATTTTAATGGGTTGGAGAGTAAATTAAAACAAGATAAAGATCATAAGATAGATCAGAAATGCTCTAGTTGCTTTTACTTTTTTTAATTGGTTAACCAAACATGGATGATAAACGAGTAACACTGGCTTTTACTGTAATTTGTTGAACACCTTTAAACTATTAAAGAAAATACTGCCTAATTGAACAGAAGCTTGTTTTTGAAACTAATTAATTTTTTTCTAAATTCTAAAATGATACTGATATAATTTTGGAGCCAGATATAAGATAAGAACTTGGAATTAAGCCCAAATTCTCTCGAAACAATGTTTGTCTCACATTATGCTGTACTAATTGTTGAAAAGTAATGGTGGAAATTCGATATTTTTAGATATTTTTATTAAATAATAATTCTTAGGTGAATGCAAGTTATTATTCAGAAAATTTGAAGGTAACGATATAGTTTCATTGGAATCTTTCAGTAACTCTTTTCGCAATTTTTTTCTTAGAAATAATTGAGAAAAGCTGTAGGGTTAAAAATTTAAGTTACAAGAAATTAGATTTTAGGTGTAGGCTTAATGTTTTGTTTTAAATACTACTCTGGATGTCACAGTGAAAATGAACGTAAAAAGAAAGTAAGCCCAAATTCTCAATTGAAAAATTTTTACTTTCGTATTCGCTGTGACATTGAGTTGATGTGAAGAAATGGTGGAAATAAAATTTATAATTGTATATACTCAAAAATGTTTTCTTTTTTATCCTTCCTATTCTATTTGGTAATGAATACATACTACAATGTTTAAGTTATACACAGCAACAAAAAAGTTAGACAGCAGTAAAATATTATTAAGGCTGTTTTATCGGTGCACCAAAATTTTTTCTCTGTTATTTACCGACGAAATGTCTCGAAATTTGGACATGTTATACGAAATTATGTTGCCTTTAAACTGATGGTTTTACTTTTTTTTATTTTTTTGAATTTTCTGTTGAAAAATTGGATTATACTGTTTAACGTTCTATTATAACCAAACTTTTCACGCCCATCAGTTGAAAGAGTTTTTTTTTTCTGTAATCGTTGATTCTTTTTTCACCTTTCTGTGTCCAGTAATAATCGAGAAAAGCGTATTCAAACTTTGAAGAAAATTGCTAAAAAATACTGAAATCTAATAGTGAAACGTGTTCCTCATCATTGTCGCTGAGCTTGATCGTTATCGCATTAGTGACGTCAAATCACATGAGCGTACGAACGGTCTTATTTTTATTTCTCTATGGGTACGGTCAGTTAGTTCGCTTGAATTAGAATCCATTTTAGTTCTTTCATTCTTGTATTTTCTTTATCAACTTGCTTAGTTTTTACAGTTTACAGTATTCTTATTTATTTTGAAAACATTGAAATTATTTAGTTTACGTGTATGTTAAGTAATATATTATTAGTTTAGTGGTATAAGTTAAAAGTTCTTTAGTTTACGTGTATTTTTAAGTATTACATTAGGTTAGTGATATAAGTTATAAGAGACAAGATAAAAAATGAGTCCCAGTATACGTCCTATGTCAAGGAAAAGGAGAGCAATTGCACTGATTTAGTATTTATTATTTATATTACAACCGTTTTTAAAAGCTTTTATTTAACTTAAAAATAATCATTCTCCATTTTCATGCAACTTTTCTAATATGGAGATTATCAAAGAAAAAATGGACGGATTGATAAGTACATTGACTTTAAAATGTCAAATGTGGAATATTGAAAAGGAGATAGTAACATAGGATTCTGGTAACAATTCACTGAACTTGAATGGTTCTGGTTATTCAGACATACAGCAGCAGCACGCTGCAATAAATATACCTGTGATTTCCTACAGGCAGTATGCAAAACATACGGAAACAGTTGCAGATATCATCGGCCAAACACTTGTGATTCCTTAGAAGAGGCTGGACGGGAGGAATTAGCTTTAGCCAAAGAAATTGGTGAAGTAGATTCCGACGGAAATGAGTTAATAACCGTTATAGCTGATGGTGCTTGGTCAAAAAGATCGTATAAAGTAAACTACGATGCTTTTTCAGGTGTAGTACCTGACGTTGTAAAATTTATTAAATTAGTACGCCTTTGATGGATAGGACATGTAATTAGGCGAGATGAAGATGAAACGATCAGAAAAATTTTCGACCGAAGAGGACCAGTGGGAAGACGATCCAGAGGAAGACCAAATCTTAGGTATCAAGATAACATAGAGGATGATCTAAAATCCATCGGAGTTAAAGCATGGAGAAAGTTGCCAGAGGCAGGGGCGAATGGAAGATTGTTCTGCAGAAGCCTTTGGCTCATGACGAGCTGAAATGCCACTGATATGATGAAATAACTATCCACGATTTGTGTTTTATTCATCAATTGGATACTTTTCTTGATTTGTGTTTTATTCATCAATTGGATACTTTTCTTATGTAACTGCAACCTATAAATATATTAAAATAATGTATATTCCATTCAGAGAACTTTTTCCTCGCAGTGCGTCGTCTCGAAATACTTGCCAGATAAATACATTTACTATTATGATGGTTTCGCAGGTACCAATTTTTTAGATAAATAAAAATATTTTTTGTTTAATTTTTACTACGCTAATATCAGTTTTCTCTAACAAATATTAACAAAATATTAATTATATATTAATATAACAAAATTTAAATTTATTATAAATAAACACCATGGTGTTTTTTGCAGTCACGTTTCACAAATTTTTATTTAATACTATGTTTAGACATATAAATTAAAAATGTGATTAATTCTTTTTAAAACATTATCTACGATAATTAATCTAAAAAAAGTATTCCGACAAAACTAATTTGAATGGAGAATAATGCATTTATTTTAAACAACCCGTGGGCCGGCGCCACTGAATAAACATCCAAACTATTAGGAAGTCACGTAGGGTCTGACATAGCAGTGTAGAAAAGTAAGTGATACGCCCACTTCAAATCGCAGTATGCTATAACTGCGAAAACAGCCTTAATAATTTGTAATAATAATTTGAGTATACCCAATAGCATGCACATGTATATGTGGGAACTACGCAAACACAAGGATAAACGAACATAAAAGCCATTGTCGTTTAGGACATATCAACAAATCTGCCGTTGCCGAGCATGCTTTGGGAAGCTTAGAACATCGGATACTGTTTGAAGAATCGCAGATGATAAAACATCACAGTACTACCCACGGTTGTATCGGGAAGCGGTGGAAATATATAAACACCCAAATAATTTTAATCGGGTGGAAGAAGGACTAAAAATTAACAAAACATGGATACCAATATTAAAATCCACAAACATGAGGAAAGACAAAAAGAGAAAGAAACCAGTGGAGGGGAGGCGAGTAGAAAATATAAATATGGCCTCCGTAGTACAACACGCGTCAGTTTCAGCTTACAAGCGAAGCAGTAACATCTCCAGAAGTTGCCAACCCCTAGTGTTGGCGAAACGTCGAGAACTAATATCAGAAGACAACGGCCTAACAGCCCGAACAGACAGTTTAACAAGTTAGACGATGGTCGTGAAAGCCTAACGCATTTTATCAGTGACCAGTCGTGTTGGTAGTGCTGACAAAGTGATCTCAAACTTGATGTTGTATTAGAAAAAGATCACCATATATTATAGAAGGGATTTTAGAGGGTTTATTAACTATTTGTCACTACTTTACATTTGAAACACTATTTATTTCTATACATTAGGTGAACGACTGTTTACAATATTAGCCGTAAGTTACAAACAATAACATTATCGACCTACACTAAATGTTCTGAAAACAATTTTCTAATATCTCAATAATGACTAATTATTATTGACTGCGTTTTATTCTAATAGCCCTCTACGTTAGATTATGTACGTATTTATACCTATAAATATCTGAAATACTCATATCTTTTCATTGTTAGCTTAAATGTTATTGTTTACGAACCGAAGACACTGTTTAGGTCACCAATATGTACTTTTAACTTGGGTCAATAGATTAATCGTTAAACATATTTCTTTTTATATTAATAGTGAATTATGTCTAGTACTTACTGGAGTCAGACAGGGATGCGTGCTTTCTCCGTTTCTTTTTAACATAGCTCTAGACTATGTTCTCTCCAAACTAGACTCTGACACAAGAGGGATACAATGGACATTAACCACACGCCTAAGCGATCTAGAATACGCCGACGATATCTGCCTGTTAGGACAAAGGTTCCAAGATGTGGCTGACCAATTGGAAACACTTTCCACTGAAGCCAATAAAATAGGTTTGAAAATCAATATTGGTAAAACCAAATCCATGAGAATAAATGCAAGAAACAACACGCTATTCACCATTAATAACATGCAGATTGAAAATGTGGAAAACTTTACGTATCTTGGAAGTGTCATAACAGAAAGCGGAGGTACAGAAGACGATATTCGTATGAGGATACGAAAAGCGCAACAAGCTTTCAGCATGCTTAACCCTGTTTGGAGGTCTGGAGACTACACTACGAGGACAAAGATCCGCATATTCCAGTCAAATGTCATGTCTGTACTACTTTACGGATGTGAAACCTGGAAAGCGATAAAAACCCTTACAGACAAACTGCAGGTCTTTGTTAATAAATGTCTACGAAGAATTGTTCGTATTTTCTGGCCTAACATCATCAGAAACGAAGATGTACTACACCTGACCAAACAAAAGAGGGTAGTAAATGAAATAAAGTCCAGAAAGTGGGGTTGGATCGGTCACACACTCCGAAAAAATAACTCCAGTATTGCAAAGACTGCCCTAGAGTGGAATCCGCAAGGAAAACGAAAAAAAGGTCGCTCAGTACAAACTTGGAGAAGATCCATCATGGACGAGATAAGGAAACAAGGCAAGTCTTGGAATGAGGTGAAGGCCTTAGCGCAAAATAGAACCCGATGGCGCGTTTTCACTGAAGCTCTATGCTCCACTTAGGAGTTCAAGAACC